TTCTTTTTAAATATTTCATTATAATACCTGTCTTAGTAATATGTATTTTATGTGCACCATTTTATCACCAATAATGGGTTTGAAATACTGTTTTTTGGCATAGGATTTACTAGAAAAATATTGAACACCAACCATGTCCCAGGAACTGTGTGTTCTTTGGGGGAAAGATAATGAAGAGCATGAAAGAAAAGGCCATGTGCGCTTAGGTTTTACCTCCTTAGTGTGGAAGATGAACAATAAACAAATGAGCACACACATCTAAATGGAAGCAAAGATAACTGTGTTTTGTCAGGGATATGGAATGCTGGCAGAAGAGAACATTTAGCCGGTGTGGTCAGGAAAGGTCCCTGAGAAGAATGGAGCTATAAGCAGGTACTTGAGTGAAGCAAAGAGATTACTGTAGAGAGGGAAGTTGCTTAGTGACCTGGGAAGGATGAAGCTGTGGTGAGAAGCACACTCTTGGGTATTGCTTATTATTTGTTCATTTCCTTCACATATATTTCTCGGGAAATTTAACTCATTTATAGTTTATATAATTATTAAGTAATATCATGCTTCTGACATTTTGCGGCTGGTTCTTAGTTTTTCTCTTTTCTTTCTCTTTCTCCCTTAGACTTCTCTACAGTGCTTGAGTGATGTTTTTTTTCTAAGAGTCTGTTTTGACTCCTTGCTTTACTATTATTGGTGTATCTGTCACTGGTTTTTGCTTCATGGTTAGAGTGGGACCTAAGATAAACATTATTGGATTAAAGTAAGGCATTTTAAAATGTGAGTTGCTCAAACACTATCATAAAATGGGTCAAATAACAAGAAAATAAGGGAGAAAGAGAGGAGAAGAGAGAAAAACACTATATGTATATTTACCCATCTCCATATTGTGAGTTTAGATGTTCTGTTATACATCTTTCTATATTGCCTACTTCAACAGTTATTAATTCTGATTGCCTTCGTTTTGTTTGTATGCTAGACATGCATGGTCTATGCACTGTGTTTACCATGTGTTAGGGTATTCTGAATTTGTGTAGTTCCTCTTATTATGAATGAATTTTAAACATCCAGAACTTCCTTGCTGATTAGCAGCTTCTCAAGCCATTTAAAGAACTTGTTAATTCTTCCTTTTGCAAGGACATGTAAGGTGGTGATAGTTTTTCAACTTCTGTTTGTCTGAAGCCTTTTTTATCTCTGAACCACAGCTTCACTGGGTATAGTATCCTTGATTGATAGTTTCTTTTCCTTGAGCATGTGACAGATCATCCTAATACTTCCTTCTGGCCTGTAGGGTTTATGCTGAGAGCAGGTAATTGGAACATGTGTGTGTGTATGCATGTGCATATAAGTATGCATGTATGTGTTCGTGCATATGTATGCATATATGCATGTATGTTAATTATGTCCGTGTGTGTATGTATGTGTGTGTGTGTTGCTTTTTTGCTTTCTCAATAACCTTCTCTTTGTATATAACCTCTGAGAATTGATTATGCTATGATTTGGAACAGATGTCAATGAACTGAGTCAATCATGATGACCCTTGAAACCAATTATGGTGACAATGACCTTCATGTACCTGTATTTTAGTTTCTTTTCAATTTTAGGACCAGGCAGTTTTCTGTTATTATCTCTTTGAGCATGCTTCTTATCTCTGTAACAATCTGCACACCCTCTTGTCGGTTCTTCTAATACTGTTTCAATGTTGCCGTGAGTTTTCTTTGCTCTTCATTCTTTCTTCTTTACTATCCTTTGATAGTCTTTTGATAGCCTACTAATTATTTATTCTATGAAAACTATTGATTTGGTTATAGTTTGTATGCTTTCAATTCAAGGCTTACTGGTGTTAGTTATTAAGTTACTACAATCCTCTATGTTTCTCTGATAAAAATACTGAGTTTTTTTTTCCTCTATGTTTCCTTGAAGTTCATTCAATTTCCTTAAAGGCTTTAAAAATTCTCTGGCTGTGTATATATTGATTCCTTTATGGTCAGTTATTGGCAGTTGATTTTGTCCATTATTGTCAGTTGATGATGTGGCTTCATTGTTGCTCGTCTTGGGAATTCTAAGCAGCTGCTTTGTGGCCACAGCTATTTCATCAGTGGATGAGAATTTGAGTTCAGGTTTGCCACAAGTCTACACTGGAGCACTGCCATGGTTTCAATATTGTGAAGTGCTTGAGGCCCCTGTTAGCATATTGTTGGGTCGCTGTTTCTGTAGCTCTCTCTAGGGTTGGGGTGAGCGCAGATACCTCGTCTATAGTTACTGATGTGTGGTCAGAAGCCCCAGGGTTCTTCTGACTCTTCCTTGACCTCATGGCAGAAGGACTATATATAAACTCCCATAAGCCAACAATACTATCATACTATTGCATCCAAAGCCCAAACTCTTCTGGACTTAGCTCAGTACAGACTAGAGTCCCAGCCCATGCCACTGCAGTCTGCTGGTGGCATAGTCTCACCTTACGACTCCTGCAGCTATCCAGAGATAAGCTCTAGAACACAGATGTGTTACACTAGGGCATCAGGTCTCTGTCTGTCATCAGGAGATGTTCAGAAGCCCCCACCCCTCGTGGGCCTTGGCCTTGGTGTAGAAACTTGAGATCTGATAGGCAAGGTGTTGGGTTTTACCGAGTGGGCAGAATTCCACTGAGGTCTTGTACTTACCCCACCCTTCCTTTACAGTAGGTACAGTATTCCCCCACACTGTGCTCAGTTGGAATGAGTCCATTGCCATGCTAGCATGACTTCAAGTGAGGCTGGAGCCCTGATTTTTAATGGATTAGATTTTACAGTGGCAGGTCTAGGTCAAAAATCTAAGCCATAAGCTTAATTATCTCTTCCCTTGAGCAGGAGAAGTATCTCACTGTACTGCATGAAGTAAGAGGATAGCCTAGGAATTTGTTTCTTTCTGTATTTTTCAACGCTTCCTTTCTTAATATGCTAAAACCAACCAATTTCAATCCTCTCTCTCTCTCTCTCTATCTCTCTCTCTCTCTCTCTCTCTCTCTCTCCCCTCTCTCTCTCTCCTCAGCTCTTGCAAAAGGGTGAAAAGCCATTTAACTTCATGCTTCTCTGGGAGATATTACTTGTTGTCACTTTGCTCTGTCTCTTTGTGGAAGGCAGCAATAATATATTTGTCAAATACAGTCTATTGCAAGCACATTATGGAGTCAGTCTAATTAAACATAAATAATGGTAGTCCTGCAGCACTGACTGACAATTTATAAAAAACCTGGAACTATTACAGAACACAATTAGTGCACTGTCTCCTTATTCTGTAATGATTCATCACCTAAAAAATTCACTCTGCTTGTTTCTTTTCTGAAAACACACACTTGCATATTTTTAATGTTATTCTCTATTAATTGTTCATATTGCTGCTCAAGAGCAACAGTGATGTAATGGAAATGCCATGTCTAGGATTGCTTTCATTTTGGGGGGGTGCCTTTAGAGATGATTATTCAAAGTTTTGAAGATACAGTAGAAATGCAAACCCTATATTTCTACCAAATTATAATTAAATACGACCTATTTAAAAGGATTGTCCTGCTCTGGTATCTAAATCTTTAAATGACAGTGGAAAAAGTAAAAACTACAGAAATGTTTATAAAATAATAGCTTTCTGTTGTGGCATTACAATGTGTTATGGTTTGATGCTTTCAGATAAACAAATAGTTTCTCCCCAGTTACAGACAGGATCCGAAGTTGCTTTACTAACCGGACTTAACATCATTTCTACCCAACAGGATTTGGCTGGAGAAGCTGCAGAGGGAAATAGTTCATGCTTTTTCTCAAGAAGTGATTTTTTTTCCAAATGCTTAGAAGATGGCAGGTGGAAGTGATCTCTGCCGATCACACATATTTGTAAATACCTGTGATGGCTACATGGTGTCTACTGAAAATCAGAGCACAGAGCCACCCCCTTTCCCATGGTGAAATCATCATGATCATGAAAGAGATAACGAAAGCCATGATGGGAGGAGGTGATGTAGGATAAGACAGTGGACCTATGTGCAGTTGGGGTTTGAACTAAATGACTTTTACACAGTTGCCCCAAACTGATTGGATCCAGAGAGAGGGAAACTTGTACACTCTAGGTTCAGACCCAGGCAGTACTCATTTTCATTCATAGTCCCCTGCTGATAAATCACAATGGTCACAAGCTGTCTTTGCTCCTGAAATGATGGGCTCAAAACACTTCTCCATCTTCCAGTAGTGACAGACTTAAGGACTCCCAGCACCCTGCCAGTTTTAGCTCAGCGTTTAGTCTTATCCCTGCTCATCTGCACCAAGTTCTAAAAGTAGAGCACTTTAATCTGACTCCACCCCCTGGATTTCTGATGTTCTGTCAAAAATTATTTATAACCAAAGAAGTATTCCGAAAGCTGGAGGGAGTAAGCTGTGAGAGGAGCGTGCATTTTTAAGTCAGATCATCAAGCCCTGGAAAACGATGGCTTGATTAGGCTTCCTTCGGGAGAGTGGGCTAGAGGAAAAAAGGCCAGAAATGCTGGGGCTTGGTGAGATGTCTTGGTGAGTAAACTGCATAAGTCTGGTGACCTGAGCTCCATCCCCAGAGCCAATGGAAAGGTGACAGGAGAGAAGTGATGCCACCAAGTTGTTCTCTGACCTCTGTACACGTCGTTACACACACACACACACACACACACACACACACACACACACGATTATAATAAGAAGAAAATAAACTAGGGTTAGAAACTTTAGCAAGTTTATAACTTTGTGTTGTCTGATTATTTATGAAGTGTTCACACTGCTTTCATGGAGCTTCACGCAGTTTGACATGGTGGTGTTAGCTGAGGTCACAAGCCTTCTTCCGTGCTAAGCATTCTAGTAGCCCTACCAGGTGCCAAGCAGTCTTGTCAGGGTTTCATATGTGTTAGCCTCTGGAAGTAAATCCAAATATTTTTGTCACATTATTTATTGATTTAGTCAGCTTTATTTATTTTTTCACTTGGGATATCTGTTTTATTTTTATCATTTCTTTTATTTCAGCTCTTCTTTATGCAACTATTTTTGGAAATGTTACCACAATTTTCCAGCAAATGTATGCCAACACCAACCGTTACCACGAGATGCTGAATAATGTTCGAGATTTCCTGAAATTGTATCAGGTCCCCAAAGGCCTTAGTGAACGAGTGATGGATTATATTGTCTCGACATGGTCAATGTCAAAAGGCATCGACACGGAGAAGGTAGAGTTGTTTGTTGTTATTATTATTATTGCTGATAATCTTCTGCTTACAGGATATTTAGATGCATGTACATTTCCCACTCATATTTCTCTTGTGCAACTGCTTTAGAGATGCTACTATAGTTTTTGTAAGTGACATTTCAATCAATTGTATTTATTGAGTGCTTAGAAGGTGTGGAGCACCCAATCATTAACAATCAATTAGTACCAGCCATGATATCCAATGGAGAAAATTTGGTTTATGAAAACAGCTCATTACCCCATTCCCCATGACACTTCATTACCACTTAGTAATTTTCTGTTACACTCTCAGAGCATCCTCCTCTGAGATCTTATTCATAATTTTCCCTTTTGCTTGCTGTCCATTTAAAAATGAAAAGACTTCGGAGAGATGGCTCAGCAGTTCAGAGAGTTTGCTGCTCTTGCTAGTGACTTGAATTATGTTCCTAGTAGCTATGTCTGGCAGCTCACAGCCACCTGTAACTCCTGTTACAAGGGAACACACGCCCTCTTTTGGCCGCTGTGGGTATCTGCATGCACATGTGTACACACACACACACACACACACACTCAAACACACACAAACTTTTTTAAAAGTATATTTTTTAAAAAGGAAAAAAAAACAGAATGAAAATTTCTTGTTATATGTGAAAAGATATATTCTCTTCTATCATATCTTTCTCTTAAATGTCTCTTTATCAAATGCATTATAAAATACCTTGGTTATTCTTAATCTTCCCTTGATCTTTCATACATGCAGTAGAGACATACTTCCTTCCCACTCATTCCCATGCCTCATTTCATGCCTTCTAAAGGGAACTTCTCTTTAATTTCCCCACCCATTTTATACTTGGGCAAAGAAGGACTGATAAAAGCCAATTGAAATTCCTCACTTTCCTGTACCATTGGAGTCACATAAAATGTTAGGGATGGCAGCTTGAGCTGGCATACGGCAAGTGAAAGCCAATCCCGAGTTATTTAGTTTCTAGCACCAGCGAAGACTGTTCTTTGTAGAGCACTTGCATTTAGCAGCTGACAGCCAAATTACAAAATACCTTCCTTGCCATTAGTAGGTGGTATGTGTTTTTAACCTCTGTCTCTCTGTCTCTGTCTCTCTGTCTGTCTGTCTGTCTCTCTCTCTGTCTCTCTCTCTCTGTCTCTCTCTCTCTCTCTCTCTCTCTCTCTCTCTCTCTGTGTGTGTGTGTGTGAGAGAGAGAGAGAGAGAGAGAGAGAGAGAGAGAGAGAGGAGATTACCAACTACTCTATAAGTATCTTTCAATGTAGTGTGGAAAGCACAACTGATCAAATGAAATTTCACACAGTAGCAAGCAAGTTTCAAGTCAGAGCAGATATTGTGGGGACCAGGTTATTGAGGGAAGGTGTGAAGAATGATTGTGAAGTGTAAGGGAATCTCTCTTCCTCTCTCTCTCTCTCCCTCCCTCCCTCCTTCCCTCCCCCCCGTGTGTGTGATGTGCAGAGTAGCTGCATAGAGGAATTATGAAACAGTGAGATGTTCTCCTTTTTCAATATTTCACATCTGCAGCATAAATTCCCCAACTAAATGACCACAGAAGAAAACGTAATGAAAGCATATTTCTTGCATCTTGATTAATATCCACTGATATTTGTTTAGTGGGAAATGTGTGAAGAACTTTTAGCAGGGTGGCGAAAAAGGTAAAACCACAAATGCTGTAAGAAAATGGGAGAAAGTGAATTTTTCTACACCGTTGGAACATCAATTAGTACAACTGATATGGAGCATGGGATGTTCCCTCAAAATGCTAAGAGCAGATCTAACACAGGGTAGGTCTATCTGTGCCGCTTCTTGGCAATTATGAAATGAAAGTCAACCATTGTAGGAAATAGATATTTATACCTTCACAACAGTCAAGATAAAATAAATGCTTAAATAGCACAATAATGAAATCCTGTTGTGTATAACAAAATGGATGGGGCTAGAGGATGTTACGCTAAATAGAATTAGACCTAGAAAGACAAATAACTAACTCATGCTCTCTCTAATGCAGAGGAGTTAAAAGACAACTTGAGTTTAGAATGGTGGTGACAAAGGGAGGTAAGGGCGAGGAGGGGAGGGGCAAGTCAGAAGGAGGGTGGGTGGAGGTAGTGAATCACACTTAGGGCTGATTTTGAGACCTCGGAAAGCAGACTTAAATGTGTGACAAATATGAAGACTTGGCTGTGCTTGTGTGAAACCCGCCATGATGATCGGTTCCTTCCAGCATAGGGAAATGCCCACTCAGATCAGCTGTGTGTCAGCTAGGGCGAGAGTCTGTGATGAGAACACGTGAGCCTGATTCTCGGCCTGCAGAGGGGATGTGCGGATTCCCAGGAATTGCATCCTCAGTGAGATAGATGCCTTTAAAAACAGTTCTTAGATTACATGTCATATGCTACTGAAACAAGAAAAAAACAAAAATTTGCATCCACTTCCCTGACTTAAGTAAAGAATCTAACAATAGAACAGAACTCTCCCTGGCCTGCTGGGCATTTAACTTTAAAATACAGTGGCAATGTTTTAAGATGCTGACAGAGAGTAACTAGAGAGATGGCTCAGTTTAAATGCACTTACTGTTCGTGCAGAGGACTCCAGTGTTTTCTGATGCTTTTAGGTGATCCCCATGTGAAAGGGTTTTTGACACCCCCCCTCAAAAAAGTGGTCACAACACACAGGTTGAGAACTGCTGCTCTAGGGTGATCTTATACTTTGTTTTTCCCTCTGAGGACCTCCCATTACCACACAGACACAAGACAGACAGACAGACACACATATATATATGACAGAGAGAGAGAGAGAGGAGCCCCCCCCATTAATAAAAAATCACTTAAGGAAAAATTTAAAGCTTTGAGTAGACATAGAGCATCACAGCAAAGGTACAAAACAAGTTTGTCTAATTTGTAAAATATTTTTAAAAACCAATAAGGTTAGAATACTTTGGCAACTAAGTGAGTCAAAGGTATAGTAATGTTATCTAGACATTAAAAAAAACATAGTGGTGGCCTTTAATTCCGGTACTCGGGAGGCAGAGGCAGGCAGATCTCTCTGAGTTGGAGGCCAGCCTGGTCTACAGGGCAAGTGCCTGGATAGCCAAGGAGGATAGTAACTAAGGCTACACAGAGAAACCCTGCCTCAAAAGACCAAAATAAGTCCTTGTTTGTCTAGTAAATTAGTGGATGTAGATTCTCCCTCAATAACTAGCACTGACTTCAGTAACATTGAGTGTTAGGTTTTCAGTAGCAGATGTTGTTTCCTTCTTGTTGAGTGGGTCTTAAATCCAATTAGAGAGCTGTTGGTTACCACCAAGATATCGATGCCACTAATGCACTCCTATTGTTATTATTGTTATTCCATACTTAGTGTTGATGTGGTTCATAGGCATCAAAGTTGTGTGGGACTCTTGGCTGCCTCCCTCCTTAGGAAGCTTGCATGATACCTTCTGATACCATGAAAGCTAGTCCTCAGAGAGGAGGCATTTAGGTTACCAACATGACTGCCCAAATGTGAGTTAAAAATAGTTGACACCAATCTTTTAAAAACACATTCCACTGGCAATTTAGTTCATGGAAACTACGCCCTCTAGGTGCTTAGGAAAAAATCCCCTACATTTGAATCCTCACTAAACGCCATCTACTACCTCAAGTTCCCGTCACCTCCATTGCCGTCACCAGACCCAAGTCCCTGTATTTCTTGGTAAAGTGAACTCTTGAGGGTCAGGAGGATGACTTGGGTTAAGTGATTAGAATGGTGGAGATGGGTAGGGGAGTTTATTGCCTTTACATGTTTTTTCCTTGCATAGTTCCCTTACATTTTCTTTAAAATACTTTTAACAATAGAGGTTATTAGCAAATTTGCACAAACACACCCCAAAGCAGGAGAATAAATGAAGCTCGGTGTCTGTTTTAATGCCTCTTTCTGTGTTAGCTCCCAAACAGCTGTCTGCTCAGTTCTATATACAATGAGATTGAATAACATGTTTCAACTAATTAGAGAAAACACATTGCTCCAGTTATTACGGTTTCTTTCTAGCTTCCCCACATATTGAACTTTATAGGCTTTTAAATTTAACGTTAACACACAAGCAAATCAATCTCATGGATCCAACTCAGTCTTCACTTAACTCTGTTTAGTCCAATCATGGGTTAAAAAAATACTCAAGTGGGGATGTGGACATTTTTAACATTGAAGTTTGTCTAGGTTAATTTTTTTTCATGAGTCAATGCCTAGATTAATTTTATCTACTAGACAACATTTTATTGACTATTAATCACTGCAGGTGCTTAGCATTTTTTAAAAAAAATTAATAACAAAATCCATCCCCTGTGCTTTGCCACTGGCTAACATTCTGTACTTAAAAGACTGAGAAATGGGTGGAATGAGAGGGGATTTAAAATGAAAGGAGATTATAGGGGAAATAGAAGAGATGTTGATTAAAGCTCATAAAACGTATCCTGATATTTAAAATAACTTTTCATGGAAATAATTCAAATGAAATAAATGATTTGGGACTATATTTTCATTTTAGGCACCACATAAAATGCACAACTCATACAATGTTTTCTAGAACATGTACTTCTCACTGTCCTGGAGTGTCCAGTGCCTCTTTCACAGGTTGGAACCTAAACCCTTATGATTTTTGTTTGGAGTTTTTACTGTTTTTCTAATACATAGCTTGAGCATAAATCAGTAGGCAAAGCCTTCTTGGTTTTCAGTTTTTGCTTTATGTTCTTTGTGCAAGATTAAATGCCAGTATGAATTTGCATTACATGGAATATTTTGTAAAAATTCATGACGTATGTTTATCTTTGTTTTAAAAGAGGTAACGATCATCTCAATACAGTCCACATTACTCAAGTCATAGGTCAACTATCATGATAACCTTTTGACCAGATATTTCAAAGAAATAATGTCAAAGGGCAATACACTCTGTCAAAGTTGAAGAAGGTGGTATACAGGTCTGACCATATTGCCATATAACAGACAGG